CTTTGAGCGGATATTCGCTAGTCACGGAACAGAAATCAAACAAAGCGTGCTAACAAATTAAATAGAAAGTCATTGAAAGTTTCTTAGTGTCTTTATGCTAAAAACGGAAGAGTTACATAAGTAAAAAAGATTAGAGTTCGTATCCGTAAACGTGACACCTACTAAAAAAAACTCTCTTATTGATGCGTCAATAATCTAGCTGCAAGTTTGAAAAACAAGAAAGTAAAATTGAGATTTTCGACTGCTTCCAAACCAATGGAAATCAGTGACAAAAAGAAAGTAAGAAAAAAAAAATTGGATTAACATAGCCCGCGTGAGATTGCAACTCATTGGTGTCAGTTACAACACTCAGCGCATCTTTCGTCACTCAAATCATTTGACAGCGGTAGAAAACTTTTCCACTCACCATTTGTCGGCGAAAGCTTGAGGAAACGTTCACAATTTACCCTGAGCTTCTCTTCTTTTTCTTCTTTCTCCTTGAGCATTGTGTTAATCTCTTCGTTCAGTCGCTTCCCTTTCACAGACAGCCTCTCAACTCTAGCCTGCAGACGAACATTTTCCCGTCGCAACTGAGTTACAAGACTCTGAGATTTTCCGCGGGCGTCTGATCCTTTACAAACGCTGACAGCCGATCCCATTCTGGTAAATTCTGCTGCGGATTCGTTTTCGCTTTTAGAAGAGAAACGAAGCGGTGGAAGCAGAAAATACGATGCTTTGCTTATCTCTACTACCATTTAAAGAGAGGTTGTTTTGCTTGACAGTTCCTGGTTACTTTGTTTCGTAAAACAAAGCTCTTCCGACGGTATAACAGAACGGCTGTTTCCAGTAATTCTTTCGTGCAGTACAAGCTGTCATTTTACCTCCAGCGGAGCGTCACACGGCGAGTTAGATATCGCGGTGAATTTTCAAATCTGTTTGATCGAGAGAGGTCACGTTTTTCCTTTGTTACCTCATACACGGAAGTATCTTTTTCAGAGTAACCAAAAAAGAGCTATCGATGAAGGAAAAAAAAGTGCAGCTAAATCACATCGCACATTGTGGAATTCGAATAATGCAAATTTACGTGGAGAGATGCTGAAAAGAAAGGAATTCATAGCTGCCATGAACGTAACGCAGAAATTTTGACTCGTGTCAATGACGAATTGCACGAAACGTCAAACAGGTTCTGATCAGATTTTTTCACCTTTCCAAGCCTCAAAATAATCAGACATTCGATTAATTTTTTTTTGTATCTCAGAAAAGGCGATGCTAGGCTTTTTCTTTTTTTCAGCCCGAAAAAACTTTTTTTTTTAATAAGTTTATACTGTAAAAGAGAAAAAAATTAATGAATAAAGATATATCTAATTACCAGGAGAGAAGGAAAAAATATTTTTCTGTTGTAACTGGCAAATAGGTAATTTTTGTGAAACGCACTCTCTCGCGCAGAGACCTGAAAATCAGGAACATCTGCATGGATGGACTCTGGGACAGATAGATGCATAGGAAGACGGTTAAAATGTACGAAGGTAGCTTAATTAGTCTTATTTTAAGAGTCAAAACGTGTTGTTGTTTAAATTTTGTTTCTATCATAATTATTCCGTATATTAATATTATTATGAGAATCCTTTGAAAAAGCTGGGAAGAAATAGTGTAACATATATGAATCATTGATTTCTTGGGAGTGAAAGTAAATTAACAGCATTTCTTTAGCTATAACGCAGAGGAGTTCTCAATGAATTGAATTCATCAAAAATTTCTCAAAATAAATTCACAATCAACTTTATGTTCATACATGTGCGGTCATTTCACTGAAGCTATTTTCGAAATGGCGCCACGAAGTATTTTTTGCCAATTTTTGGACAGTTTTCGAACACTTAGGCTACTCTGAAAACCCTTTGCACCCTAAACATCCAAATGGATATTCTCCATACTGTCCTCTTTACATTTTGTAAGGTGCCGACGAGGAGAATTTGTTTTACAGTCAGGGGCTTCTTCCAATCTACTACTGAGTCGTTTTCAAAATAGTGCTTAACGTCATACTTGTCGCGTTGGTTACCCCCTTGAACTTTGAACTTTTATAAATGCTTTTAACAAGGGGAGATAAAAATTATCTGCTTGCTCGTAATACTTCTCCGTGAAAGGAAGAAAACAAAACAAAAACGCTACTTCCCAACTACTATTTCTACCAAAATGTTCGTCCAAACATTCCTCGTGTCGGACCTTCTGATTTAAAAAAAAAACAAAACAAAACAAAAAATCAGTCTTCCATGGTTGAGCGGAGAACGTATTCTACTTTGTACATATAAAGGAAAATACTGCTAGGCAAAGTGTGTAGTAACCAATGGAGGGTCGGAAGATATGGCTAACATTTACCAATCAAAGTCTGAGGTAAGACTTCGTTTTTCAAAGCTCTTTTATTTCTTGCACCAAATTAAATTCTCATTACACATTGCTTTGCCAACACGACGTCTCCCATGAAAGAGGAATAGGTCCCACAGCACGGGAACTAGGAAAACGCTATACCAGCACAGATTTCCTTCACAATTTTGGTTTCTTGGCAGACACGTAGTGCCATCTGTCAACTGTAAGCAGAAAAAAAAATTTACAAACACTAAAGTTAACTTCATTCGTTTATGTACGTTATAAAGCCTTATTGCGATTGAGTGTCACAAAAATCAAAACCAAAGTTATCCCAGCGACCAATCAAAACAAAGCAAACTGTTTGAAGCGCGGGAAAACGCGCATGACGTTTGAAAAACGTGTTTTAAGTTTTGCATCTGATTGGTGGAGAGGTTAGCGCGAGATTTCTCAACCAATCACAGAGAAATAACGCAAAAATAAAGCAATCCAAGATTTCTTTCGACACTCTGATACTCTTTCATGTGCGTATTCGAGTCGATAGGTTGATGTTAGATTGCTGTTACGTTGAACGCGGTGGATTTCGAAGTAAAGCTTGTGCATTGCTTGCGTTTGGTTTCGCTTGTTCTCACACTGAGTTTAAAGGCATTAACAACATTCGCGTTTCCCACAAAGGGTTTAAATTTTTCCTGAGATACTCAGATTTTTCGAACTAAACTGAGCCCTTACCGAAAGAAACGAGCACTTCCTTAAAAAAATGGGGTTTTCCTTTCAAAATGTTATCAGTGATAATTCACGTTTGGATTATGAACTGAATCAAACAAAATTGTGGCGTGTTGTGGGCAGGACACTTTTAAACTCTCACATTTCCTCTTTTCATTCAAGCCTGAAGAAATGCTGTGGGAGGGGTGGGTGGGGGTGGAGGGTAACCGTACGAGGGAGTGGTAGTCAATTCGAGAAGAGCAGGATCACTCTCCTAGTCCGGCGCTTCATACTACAGAACTGGGACAAGCACCTACTGGATTGGTGCCTTGGTTAGAGTAAAGACTACCTTTTCAACCTACCTTCTTGGGCTGGGTCGATGGGTTTTGGTTCAACAGGTTTAGCCGCCTAAACGATGTGAAAAAAAATTATATTCTGAATGTTCAAGTACTTTATGCACGTAATATAGGCTCCTCTGTAACCGTTGTTTGGTTTCGTAACGCCCACGTTGTATGAAGAGACCAAACAACGCATGCTCACTACCTGCAATAAAACCTCGTTCCCATATGTTAGCAAAACATCTCACCGATCGGAGCAGTAATAGGGACACGATGATTGAAACAGGCGCCAAAGTCTCAAATTTTGAAAATATTATTGTCTGCAAAGGCTCAAAGCTACATCATAATCACTGGTTTACTTTCAAATTAATTTACACTCACGTGATTAAGAATACCAGCTGCTTCCCCTGCAGACATCTTGTACGGCGATTTATCAACTGTGACATTTTTGCTAACAGAAAAAGGAAACAATTATTTGGAAAACCTGATCTCTATATATTGCCCGAAGAATTAACAAAAACATTACGACAACGGCTAAAGAACTGTAGAACTCCCTGGCAAATAAAGGAAAGCTGCAAATAGGCATCAACAGTGGAAAAACTGAGGAAAACTACCGCGAACTTTCGATTATTTTACAAAATTACATTCAAGTTTTTGTTTGTACACTTGACGCGCCAAGAGCGGAGCCCCTTTACCACTAAAATGAGGAGCTAAATCTAAACACCTCCATATTCGCCGAACGCTAATGACTTATTTGTTGAGAAATTCAGTCAGGTTCAATACAAAAGGCGCGATAAGAAATCTCTCTAAAAAAAAAAAAATGGAATAGCTTTTCTCACCAAGCAAGGCCTTCATCATTTTCCACCTCTTTGAGAACCAGCTTTCTCCAACATTCGTGCGTTTCACTGATGATCTTCGTAGCAAATTCCTAAATAATTCAATACCATAATAGTGACTTAGACAATCCGTTCTTAGCCCTGTTTGACGTGTAAATAACAAAACCCTCTAGTTTGGGAAACAAACCTTCTTTGATCATCCAAACAACACTTAACACAGTCATGTGTTGTTATCTACCCCAACATTGTAACAAATATTTTTAGTAAGCAGCATAGTGTAAAGCAAAATGTTTTTCGTCTTGTCACAAGCGACGAGCCACACATAGAGACTCTACGGTGAACAAGGCATAGTGTATCGGTAAGTAACTTCTCCTTACATATCAAAACTTTATCCAGACAAATGGTATCGAGAACATACAAACTGAACAGCTCCTGAATGCCCAGTACAGTAAATATCTCTATCATATTGATAAGTTCTGTAAGCGAGCTTTACGTTATGGTTACACCAGCAAATACACACCCATAATGGATGTAATTAAAATGAAAGACAGGCTTCTTTGGGACGAGATAACCTCTGACAGTGCAAATCCATTACATGAACTTTTACCAGCTCAGAGAGCTAGGAGCCTCAGGAAAAGAGGACATAATTACATCCTGCCTCTAGTTAGAACCGAACGTTTTAAACGTTGCTTTTTTAATAGATGTCTCTTCGAATTTGTGTAGCCACTTAGTCTTGTATATACATAATGAATTGATATATGTAGGAAATTGTAAGTCCAGACGTTTTGTCTCTGGACGTGTTTCTTTTATTTTTTCCAAGTCAATAAAGATCTTATCTTATCTTATCTTGATGCGACAAAATTCTCCTTACCAATTTATAAGGTGGTGAGTAACAAACAGAAGGGAGAACTTAAATTTGTATCAAATAAGTTGTACCTTGTTCTTTGCTTCCCCGTTGAAAGCAAACTGGTTTTCACCACTACCAGCCGGAATTTTATAGATCTTGAACCACTCAACTGTGGCCTACAAAACAACACAACTGATCCTTAACACTGCTATTGTTAATCTAAAGCTACACATGTTAACACATCATGCATCATTAACAGAATCTTAGTCTCCATCTTCATTGTGAATTTGAAATACCCCTCACACAATACCTCAAGAAGTCCTGGCATGTGTTTTTTAATGTCATCAACATCTGTAGAAAAAGTCGTATCGTGAAACTTGTAAAACTTTGTACACCAAAAAACATTGGAGGGAATGAGTATCAGGTATGAGAAAACTAACCTTCTGACATTGAAACAAACCTAGCTTTTAGGTTTGTTTCAACTCGTTTGAGGTACAGCCACACCTCCATTATCTGGACCTCGATTATCCAGATTTCTCGATTATATGGACTTTTTCTCCGGTCCCAATTTTTCATGGATATTTATTAGTCATGATCAAGATCTGTAGCCATATTCTTTTTTAAACTACAGCATTGAAAAGTAATGTAAAGGTGATGTTCTTCTTTAAGATAAACTGACTTACCTCAACATTTTAGGCCAATGCAAAAACATTTTGCATTAATTTTGACTGTTCATACACACATGCAGAGGTATTCACGTAGGACAGTGAAGACCATATCTTTTTCAGAACAATTTGTAAATGTTTCAGGATGAAATGTCGCTTTCTTAATTTAACCAGTTTTTGTTCCCCGGTAATATTAACATTCTCGATTATCCAGACCCTGTTTATCTGGACTATTTCGTCTAGTCCCAATGAGTCCAGATAATTGAGGTTTGACTGTTATGTGATAATACTTTAAAGAACTGGTATCGATGCATGCTGTATTTCCTTGAATAAGTACCCAGGCACTTATTGAAAATTTCAACTAAAAGGTATTTTAAAGGAGGGCACTTAATCAAGCCCAAAAATTGAAGAGACAGAAAACATACACAGAGGAACTCTGCAAGCACATGGAGACAGAAATAACTGGAATGGAAAAGAAACTATTCTTCTTTATTGATTCCACTGTGGTTGAAGGTTAAAAGTTATAAATATATTGGCCATAGGAACAGGTGTTTTTTTGTATCTCTACTACCTTGAGAAAGAGAGGTGGGTGATCATTTGACATTTTGGAATAGGGGCGAGGGAATATTTGGGGGAGGGCTTATTCAGTGGAGGTTGGTTATTTGAGCATGGGCACTTATTCAAGGAAATACAGTATTTTACAAAAGACAAAGCTGGGAATATTCTTCAGACTTAAAAAAACGGTAAACAATACACACACTAATGAGGTCAGTTGGTTTGTGATTTTGTACTGTGGATGCGTGTCCGGTAACTTTATTATGATTCATTTGGTCACAACACAATTTATCTGTACAATTCAAATCAAAGAATTCAAGGTTTTCTGAGTCTAATTATTATAGTAATTATAATTCATTTCAAAACATAAACAACAACAAACAGAAATGCATACACTATGTAACCACAGCTGTGTGCTATAAACAAAATGGCCATGGCATAATGTTCCATACATACTTGGTACAAAAATACCTATTCCTTGACTGTGATTTTGACCATAAATCTTGTTGCTTGGTTCAGAGAAGGTGCTTACAACACACATTAGGAGTTTTACTGACCATTATACTGTTTCAACTTATCTCTTAGGTTTTGAAACAGAACTGGGAAGGTAGAAGCCCTGAATGTATTAAACTTCTGACAATAAAATTTTCACAGGAAGCTATCTTACCATTCATGTCTTTTGGAAGAGGATCATTCACATCAATGCAGAGTATTTTCCAATCGGTCTCACCCTCGTCAATCAATGCAACAGTCCCCAAAACTTTTACTTGCTTGACATCTCCTTGCTTGGCAATCTGTACGTTAATAATTTAACCATATTGAGAAATGATCAAAGACTGAAAAGTGCTTAAAAGTCTGTTCTGTTATGTAAAACAGATTATACCAAAATTTAACAAATTAACAAAAGTTTCTACACAAATCACATTCCATATAAATAAAACACACAAACAAACATACAGACTTTTCTACAAAAACCAAAATTACTATTAACAGTTATGTACTAAACAGAGCTTTTAATTCATGGTGCTTGCCATCATTAAGCAATACACAAAATTTAGTAAACTATTAAACTCACCATGGTACCAATTTCACAGGCATCTATTGGGTCATTATCCCCCATGCATTCTGTGTTGGGATCTTTGTGCTTTGGATCCTCCCATGTCTAAAATAATAGCATAAAAATATAATGATATTACCACAAATCACAATACTTTCCCAAATCCAACCCTAATCATCATTTTTTCATTCTATTTCCAGGATCTTTATCCTTCATATAATTAATTATTTTCACAAATCACTCTCTGGCAGTTTACAAGCAGTGATCAGAAGTGATCTGCTATTTCCCCCAGAAGTGTGCCCAATCTTGGCAGGAAAATGAAAGATCTTTCAAGATCTTCCAAATTGTTCTTCAAAACAAAAATTCGGAAGATTTTCACGGATTTTTCAAACATCTTTGACGAGATCCTCAAGAATATCCTCGAAGGTCGTCAAGAAGAACTTTAAGGATCCTATAGGATCTTCAAAGATTCTCAGTTGGGTAGATTCAACTTGACCCAAGTAGAATCTTTTTCTACAGCAATATCTGGTCAGATGGTAACCATAGTGGGTGAGCATACCATTATATTTAAGTAAACAGTTATCTGTGGGCCAATAAAAATGCTTCATGCAATAATTTGCAGTTTTTCATAACTACCTAGGAACTGAAGCTATCTAAAATAAGCATACCTGAGGGAGTGCTCCATAGTTCCATATGTAACCATGATATGGGAAGCAGTTATGAACAAATCTGAGTTTCCCCTTTTTGCAATCTTGTTTGATAGGATTCAGAGCTTCCTTTGTTGAAATCTATTTTTGATTGACACAAACAAATCATCACTCTGGAATGATATATCTCAAAACTACATGAAAATTGCATATCACTCAATTACAGATTTTTAAAGTCAATTTTCAAAGTTTAGATTCAGTGATAAGAAGCTCAGCATGCTCTAGTTGGATTGCACATGCATATTATTAACTGGTACATCATCTCTACCAAATGCATCATCTAAATCAATTAAAATCAATATAACTTAACCCCTTGACCACTAAGAGTGATTAACTTCTTATTTCTCCTTACAATAACACTGTTTAATCAAACTTTAAAGTCACGAGAATAAACTAAATGATTGCAAATCACAAAGGCTCCCGATTGTCATTCAAATTCTCCTTGTCAGCACTTTAGGAAACGTATAAAGAACAGTTATGGAGAATATGCATACTGACATAAGGGTGTCAACAGTTACACAACTAATCCGTAAAATAATTAAATTTTACTTTGTTGAATACCTGAGAACTCTCCGACCCTAAAGACTGTCCTTTATCTCAGCAACAAATGTGCTCCCAGTTAGCTTTTTACCTCAGTTGGTAGAGCACTGCATTGATACTGCAAAGGTCATGGGTTCGAATCCCATACAGGCCTGAATTTTTTTCAGGTCTTAGTTCCACCACTACATAAGTACGGTTTTATTACTGTGAGGATCACTTTGATCTCGTACAAATGTGGTTACAGTGAGGTCAAACAATGCAATCCTGTGTATACACTGTAAGAAAATTTAAATTGCCAAGTCATAAAAAAAAGAACAAACCTCCATTTTGGCATTTGTCCATCTTGGAACTTCAACTACCATGTTATAGATTGCATTCTAAACAGAGAAAAGAAAAATATAAAATAACAGATAAGTGCCAATCCCCAGCATATGTAAAATTTGTAAAATTTTTAATAAATACATTTGTAATGTTCTCACTAAGTGTTGGCTGCTGGCTAAAACTCCGGCTGCCTAGATTTCCGAGCTCCCTGCTTATTGTAAAAAAAATTTGTACAAGTTGTTGCTTGTGAACACTAAACTGCCATGAAAATCAAAAAACAAGTCACTTCTTGGAAAAATTTCATGAACAGACAACTTTCTTGAAAGCCAGTTCTGCATTCTTCTAGATGGTTGAGCACTGCTAAATGTTACCTGAACTGTATTTATCTAACCAACCAACTGCAAAATTGCACTGCATAATTATACCTCCCTCCAAAATAATGTATATAAAATAGCATTTCAAAGCCTCTAATACCATTCTGTGGGGGGGAGGGGCATGCCCAGGGGCTCCCTGAAAGAAACTCTCTCCAATTGTCAGCTGTCTACACCATGCAGCTAGCCATCTACGCCCTGACTTATTGAGGACCCTTTTTCAGTGCATTAAATTACACATTACATGTCTACAAAAATCACAAAGCATGGCAGAGGCACTTTAATTTGCAGAATAAATATTTCTTAAGAGTAAAAATGAGTTCTAATGTGGATAAATTTAGTCTAATTCCCTGCAACTTGGTATATATCATCACGCCACTACGAGGACACTACATGATAATCTAAACTTCCACAGTCGTAAAAAATGCTGCTTTTACTTTTTTGATTGCACTTACATCTTTATCTGCAAATAGCGGAATGTCATGGAAGGGAGATATTGCTTGGCCACTTTTGTCCTCTGAAAATTTCAAATGGAGTTATCAGTACGTGTTTTGTAATCACTGTGGCTTCTGCGTAAAGTCACTGTGACAGGTATCCCACATTCATTGACTAGTAGTTACTCTTCTTTCTGAGAAGAGTTCACCCATTCACTCCCAAAATCTCATTAGTTATTCTCTTTACGGTCTGCCAAACAATTCTTTTGATGTTGGTACAAAAATTTAATTTTGGACATCTTTATTCTCATTGATTGTCTGCTTGATATTGTATGAATAATATGAGGAGAAATTCTTCCTTGGTCACTCATGGGAGTCAGAGGGTTCCAAACTGACATTTCTATTACTTGATTGATAGATAATGACGCTTACTATCCAACTACACTTCATAGAGTACAAATAATGCTATGGGCGAGTACAAATATCATCCGGTATTTGTACTCCAGAGACCTGGTTAGACAGGTTTTCTTGCATTGCACAAGCCAAGAATTGGATTGAGGTTAGGAAAAAAAAATGGCGGACAATTTTAATCATATTTCTGATGACAAAGAGTTGGAATGGCTGGCAAATATAGACCCAGGTTTCTCAGATGAATCAAACAAAGAAAAGCAGTTAGACAACCATTTATTGAAGAAAATAGAAACTGCAACACAACAGCATGCCAATTCCATTCCGCTTCACACATTTCTGTCATGCACTCCCTGTAAATAAATATCTGTGAAATTCACACACACTGAAATAACAATTTGGCATGTTGGATAATAAATAACTTATTAGACGTTTTGCTGTGAAGTAAATGTTTCGTTGAGAAAAGTATATAATTAGATATGAGTCATAATTGATTGACAATTAATTTCCCTTTTCATTAAGTTCATGATACACTTGGGATTACTAACTTCGTAAGATCGCACAACGTGTTCAAAGTTCATTTAGAAGGAATCGTTCTGTGCTAAATTGTTCTCTCACTGACCAGCGTTTCATATGATTTTGCCAACCGGATGCCCAATTGAACTGCCACCCAGTGTTTACGAGCGATTAGGAATAATCTGCTGGATATCATCACAGAAGTAAGTGGTTGATGATATGCGATTAATCACTGTAGTTTGTTTATGTTGTAGTTTGCCCTGTAGTTTGCCCTATCTAATATTATGCAACATTTTTCTTAATAGATCGAATAAAACCAGAAATCATTTATACGATTTGCATCATCCAGTGGATTAATAAGCCCCTTTTTCTCCCTGGATCATTACCGCTGAGTATTTATACTCATTATTTGTATTTTTACTCATCCTACAGGCTCGTCAAAATACCAAAAACTTGTAAAAGTACTCAGCAATACTACACAACAAAAATGTCTTATAAGATATATTAAGCCTGCAGGGTTTCCATTTGAGTCACTGAGCAAAAAAGATTTTAACCCTTCTCTTTAACTTCCCATTGCTTCTCATTTAAAAAATATAAAATAATTGTTTGATTCATAAACCACTTGGTAAAAACTACTGTCTATCAGAACATCAAATAAGAAATATTTTTGTTAAAAATTAAAAAAAAAAGAAAAAAAAAATATTTTAAAAATGCTTGTTTAACCATGTAGCAAGTAGTAAAAATTGTACCTAAATTTCTAACTGGAGCATAACTTTCAAAATGAATAAGATGCTATGGAGGATTGACTAGATAGCAGAGTCAAATTTGCTTTCTCTTTAGAGGAGCTTAGAAGATAGGGATTGAAACATTAAATTTAAGCTTGGTATAGCACCATTTTTCTTCCCATTTGTGATCTGTTTCAATCCCTTCCATTCTTTTCCATTCCTGTCCCCTCTTAATTTTTCATTGCCCTTTCGACATGATTCATTTTATCACCCCAAACATAAACAAACATTTCACAAAATCTGACCCAAGAATGTCTCCATTTAGCTCATAAAAAATGATTAGAAACTTCAAGTGGAGGCACTGCCCAGTTACTTCACAAAAAAGCTTGGGTGATTACCTGTTCTGCTCTGAACCCAAGTTCTCAGAAGTTCGTTAAGCACCCCACCCCGGTCACTCCCATATCACATTATCTGAAAACTGACACTGTACCACTTTCTCGAATTCAAAGGTCGTTCCTATTTTGAAGGTGACAAAGAATCAGCATAGACACATATTTTTCCTCTTTGCACTCCGAAATTGATTAATTAAACTTCAGAGCCAAAAATGTGCCCCATAAACAAGCCCAAAATTTTACAACTAAACTTAATTAAACACGAATAAAATAAATACTGCATGTTAGCTTCAAAAAGTGTGATCGAATTAATATTTACAGCGACTCGATCTCCACCAAATACCAGTCATCACATTCTGTTAGATTTTCAGTATTGAGTATCACTACGTTTATTGCCACAAGTCGAGTCAATTCCAATTCAATCGATTTTCTCTAAAGAGAACATGAAGTGCATCGAGATCCATACACTTTTCAGGTTTAGCGAATACTTACGAAAATACATTCTGTATTCCAAGGAATTTGGAGCTCCGCTTTCGTGGGTTGAATAAGCCATAGTCCTTCTGATTAAATACGAAAAACACAGTGTTCGTTCACAAGAATTCGATCTGTAGTTTCGCAACCCAACGCGAGCTAACGAGGTAAGGTGGCAAAAGGAAGAAATCAGTACACGAGCCATATGTAAAAACCCGTTATGATATAAGAGACATTTATATTGGTTTAGGAAAAAATAAGCCGCCACATGATTGGTGAATTTATTTCACCTCGTTCCATCCGATCAAACGTGGAGTTTCCAGGAAACTAAAGGCCATGTGTTTATTCGCTTTAAAACTGCAGGGGATCTCGAAATAACGCTTTAGTGCCTTTTTTTTTTTTTTATTAACCGGAAATATTTTCTTCGTTTTTGTTTACCTTCCTTTTTGAGCTGTTTTTCTTTTGCGTTTTTGAGTGACGTTTAGGGTGTAGGGTGAGGTTGCGTGACTATAACGCGTGACAGTAGCTGTATGGTACTTTGTACTAAAGTACGTTGTAAAATAAAACCCAAGGGATCCTTCATAGTTTGCACATAATCCTTCAACTACCGTGAGTGACAAAGTCAGAATTTCTCCTTACATTATCAATACAATACCTTACAGACAAGAAGAGAGAATTTCAAAATATATATAAAGCAAGGAGATGATTAGGTAATCCAATAATATACGAAATTCTCGGAACTAACATTGTGATAATTGTATAGCAGGCGGTAAGGAAAATTTCTAATGAGATCTAGGGAGTGAAGGGTTTCACTGAGTACAGGTTCATTTTGCAATTATGAGGGAAGAAGAATTTGAAACCTTTCACAATTTTTGAAATCATATGAGATTTCCATGTCAACGGAAGCAGGCCTTTGTTGACAGAAAAGATATCTTCGACTACTGATAATTGAGAGCTATCATATTTTCACAAAACAGCGAGTGAAAGAACACAAAAGCAAGGCAAACATCATAATATCAGTTTAATGTTTAACCTAGAAATTATGAAAATGTTGCTACTAGTTAATAAAAACAGCTGAAAGAATGGGGGTAAAAAGTTTGAATAAGTATCACAATAATGCCAATGAAATCACTTTTTTAAATGCTTCTAAAACAAAATATTGCTATATGATTTGCATTTTCAGTTGTGTAAACACTTTTTCATAAAAACATTTTCATATTATAAAATTAATGGTATTTAGGTAATTGCCTCCACTTTATGAAGTGGGAAAAATAGGTCAGGTGACAAGGGTTTAAAAAGAAAGATTCTCTCTTGTAATTTGTTATCAAAGTGTTGCAGGTCATTAAGGAAACAGCAAAGCAAAGGGATTTTTGGAAAATGAACATTTTCTCCACTCTGCAAACTCTAGCACTCTACAGAAGCCTTTCAAGTAAAACTCTGCACAGACTCCACTTACAAATGGCTCCTGGATAGAAGATAAAAGTAAATAAAATATTAGGTGGAGGAAAAAACAGGGGAAGGGAAGTAGAAAGTTAAGAGTACCCTGAGGGGGAGGGGAGTGAGGGCATGACCAAAGTTCCCTCCCTTCATACCCTCCCTCAACCTTAACTGAGAACTTATCCCTGACAACTTTGATCATTATACAGTTTCCATTATATTAACTAACTGTGGAGGCAAGCGTTACAGTTTATTTTTTCTGACAAAAATATATTCCTGAAATTGAGTTCCTTCCATTTCACCATCGTTGCCACCTCCGTTGCAACCCTCTAAGACAAACCCATGACCATAAAGAAGGTCAAAGGCATCGGCTTTTGTAAGCTCCGCACCCCCGGCTCTCCAGGGAACTCGATAATCCCTCACATATCCCCTTGCGGGGAGTAGTGTTAAGACAAGTTCAGAAGGTTTGATATATCCTTGAAAAACCTCTTTGACGAAATCTTCCCGGCCGCTCAACATCAACTGATTTCGATATCTGTCCACTGAAACGATAATAGTTCCTTGGCCTTCACTGAGTTGCATATTTTTCCGGCGATCTTCTCGGAAGATTTGAAGTGCTTCAATCAAGTCGCCGACTTGATAGAAGTCAGCTTCGGCACTCAGTTGATCAAATTCGTCGAATGACTGGGGAAGGCACAGCTCTGACGTACGTAAAAAGTTCAAAATGTGGCGAAAGAGTGCTCCATCTCTGTCTATAAAATAGTTCCCTCTAGTATCCTTAGCAATACATTGTCGTCCGCTGAACATGGCGCCTAACATAGAGTTTGGATCGCGAGTCAAAGTGTCCAAAGTCGTTGTATAAACATAACCTCCAACGTTTAAATTCAGAATTGAGGGAAATATTTTTTCTTCTGCCATGATTAGAACGTAAAGTGGCAAAAAGCTTCCATATAACGAGGAAAATTATTCTTTCCGGACGACTATAACGATGGAGTTCACTTCCGAGTGTAATGGCGCGAAATACGCTTTCTTCTAGAGTGGTGAGGGGAGTTGCAAAAAAAACAAATATTTTCATGAATATTTGGTATCAAATGAATAAGATTTCTATATCAAGAATCAGCTATCGTTCAAAATTTTTAATAGAAAATTCTTCGCTCATAGAGGCCTACTAACTTTTCCTAAGCAAGTTCAACCACAAATTACCATAACTACCCCTCCCTACAAAGTAACACTTTTGATCACTGTTTTCGACCGTAGTAATTTATCGTAAACATGGCGGTCGAATGAAAGGTATTCGTTACAACTCATGAATACATGCAAGAGATCTGTCTCGTTCGTCGAGAATTTACAGCTCGAAATTTCCGACAATTTGAACAACGAAGCTTTGGTGCTAGCCGATGTCGACAATGATGGTGATAGTGAACTCGTAGTCGGACAAATCAATGGCGAATTGTTGATTTTCAAAGGAAGTTCTGTGAAACCTTACAGATCATGCCGTAATCTGGGTATGATAACTTGTGTTGGAGTCGGAGATTTGTGGAATCGACGTGAAAACTACCTCTTCTGTATAACAGTGGAAGGATGGTGTCATATATTCTTTGTAAGTCACAAAACCTTGTTGATCGCCAATAATACTTATATGTGCGCAAGCTAGCTAGTGCTTTAAAGAAATTGAGGAAAATATAAACTTTGGAAAGATTTCCATATAACCCCATACATTAATACTTTTTCTTTTTATTAGGTGGTCTGCCCAGTATGGGGACTTAGTCTCTTTTGCTGGCCAACCTTATGGCCTTTCATTTCTTGTACATATTTCTTACTATTCTTCTTCTCTTTAGATCATGTTATCAGTATCGCCATTAAATTGTAATAAATAAATAAAATTATGCATTCCATTTCATAAAGACTAAATATAAAGGTTTCTTTTCAACACTATGCATAATTAATGTATGGGGTTATATGGAAATCTTGCCTAAAAACTTTTGATCTGTTTGTTAATTCACAAATGTAAGCATGCTTCAGTTTTTTAGCCTATTTCCCACTGACTGAAAATCTGGAGCAATGTAAAAGTTGATTAAGTGTCATAAAAAAATGGCAATATTTAACCAGCAATTAAGCTTTTATTTTATCCTAACTGCTCACAGGTGCAGGCCATAAGAGTCAGTTCCAAACACAATAATAAACATGAAACAATTACAGGTTTCTGATTGGCTGAAAATGCGAGCATTTTGTGAAAAGTTGAAACAAGAGTGCAAATTACAAATAGTGCATGTGCTGTCTCAAATTCCATCTGTTTTGACTTTCCGTAATTCTTTTTTCATGGAAATTATTAGTAGGTAATAACATGATTTCTCATGTAAAAAAATTGGTGCAATGAGCACTTGCAGATTTTACAAGGACTATGAAAAATTGCACTTGGGCTTGTGCAATTTTGTTGTCTTTGAAAAATTTACTCGCTCATTAGCACCAAATTGCACTTGAAACCAAGTTGTTACCTATAGAAATTGCTACATGTATGCAGAATGTGTGGAGAGTGTTTGTGAGGAGACTAAAACTAGGGAAAAATCCCATTGATCTCCCTATGTACCACTTTAAAACAAAGCATTGGTAACAAAGGAAATCTATTGTGTTTGCATTTTTTTTCTTTTATCAAATAACTGTAAATGAATAATGAAGTTTGAAGTTACGTGGAAATTATGCCTCCAAGTGTAATGCATGTTAAAAATTTGACTTCAATGTAAGTGCAGATAATTTTATTGTTTTTAAGTTGAACACAAGTCCCTTAAGGCTGCTCTGGTGACTGGTTTTGATGTCATTGTCTAAGAGAGTTGAATGACTGAGTTTTAATAACAGTGTTAATGCTGTTGCATTAGATTAGTACAGCGGCATTTAGTTTAATTTTGTTACCAGTCTTCGCTCGGACAAGTGACACATGTTTTCACTGTTCGAGACAAGGTTGTACCTCGGCCAACCTAAACGAATTTCAAGGTGTTAAATTTACTTTGAGGATCTTATTGTCAACGGTTTTACCCGTCCTATATAAACGGAAAGACCAAACGGAAATGGAGGGCGATGTAACAAGGAACTTAAGGAGTGATTAAAGGTACAAACAATTCTACGAGGCCGAGTGTTTTTAATCTTCAGGACAGTATTTATTACCAACAGTTACAATAACTGTCCTTCAATATTGAACAAAATGAACAAGGAGCTTCACTGATGCATCCCCACAGGGGGGTTTTCAATAACAATTTCAATTAAATGTAACAGTATCACAAATCAAGTAATTTTTGATAAATACAAAATTGCACACATACATGATGGTATAATGCAAGCTGAAAAGGCAGACCCCAAGCTGCCAAACACACAATGCAACAGGATGGCTCTTACTAGTGGTTGAGACTGATACCCAATGATTGAAGGAACTGTTTCAAGGGCTGACTTTTCAATCTACTTAACAATTATTCCACGAGCCCGCGATGTGATTATCAATAACAATGGATGAACAATTACACTCTGAGAGTGCAAGAGGGATTCATTATCATAATGTGACAGTCCTGTTATCTGATAATGTCACCAAGCGAAATGATCAAGTATTTATGCCAAACACAATTGTTATGGCAAGTATTAAAAAGGAAGGCAAAGGACAGTTTGTAAACAACGTAAAATTCACAGTTGACATGTCAGAAGAAGATGTAAAGAGGACACTTCTTTCACATTTTCCAAATTTGAAAAATCAAAGGTAAGTATATTTTACATACATGTAATTGCATGTTCAGTATTCCACTTAATTTCAGCATTTTACCCCCTGAATGCAGCAGTATATACAAATTGGAGATTATATTACATTGCAAACAGGGCAAAATTTTAGGGATCATGTTTACTGGGGATGATCTCAACTGAATTATTGGTTGATATATTAGTCAACAGTTGGTCAACCCTGCCTTTAATTTCCTTTGACCAGACAATTTTTTTTGTCTGGTGATTATTATTGTCATGTTGATGTCTGGCTCTATGAACAGTAATCAGGCCACATTCAGGCTCTGTTAGGCTCCAAATTTGAAAGTGTATTACCAAAATTATGTTTAAGTAATTAATTATAAATTATTATTAAATTCATATTCTCCTTTCTTTTAACATTTGCATTTTCTCTAACTTCATTTGTTTTCTTTAAGTTTGTTTGTTTTCTTTTCATCCCATTCTTATCAAGGTCTTTGTTGTAAATTTTACTTTTTTTTGGCTTAATTGTGTAACTTAATTAATAATGATAATAATAGTCATTACAATGTTGGCATGTGACTAATATGTTTCTCCCAACAGTACTTTAAAATTTGTAAATTAGCAGTGTAAGTTTTTGTAGTCTTGTAATTATAGCTTTTGTTCATTTGTTCATTAGATTTTTTTGTGCCTCTGCGGTTGACAATCGCACACGGCTGGAGTTCCATGGTGAAAAATCAGTTTGGGATGGGGAATTCATGAAAAAGACCCTCCAGGGAAATTCAGCTCTTTATATCTTTACTGAGGTTGGTGAAAAAATAAAGATAAAGTCTTGTGCAAAGAGAATAGAGGAAACTGTTTAATGGAAAAAACTGATTGAGTTATAGAACTGTGACAAAATTTTCTGTTATGAAGTTATGCTGTTTGATTGCCAATAGTCAAAAAAAAGTTCAGGATGTTATTTAGGCTACATGTAATGGAGAAATGAATTTATTTATTTATCAATCCGACCCTGTTAGATTTCCAACAATCTACATACAGCATAATTAATTTTCCATTTGACCTTTCTTCTGTCACCAAGACTTGCTGTATATGTTAGGCAGTCAAAATGTAGCAGTCAAATGATTGTGACTCTGTACTGGTAGACAAACAGTTTAATTCAGATTTATTAATTAAATAAGGGTTGTTACAGTCTTCAAGAAGCTGCTTTGTCTGAGAAGAC